AAAGATGAGGCAAATACTGTAGGTAGTGATCACGAGGGGGAGAAGAACATTAACATATTCTCCTCAATGCATGTTTAACCAATTAGGATTGTACATTAGGATACTTTAAAGGACACCTATTATGCCCCTTTTTACAAGATGTAATATTGGTCTCGGGTGTCCCCAGAATGTATTTGTGAAGTTTCAGCTCAAAATACCCCACTGTCGAGGCGGCAATCCCCGAACCCGGTGGTGAACACCGGAAGTAAAGGATGGTTGGCTTGTGGGACTCCGGAGGCAGCTGACAGGTACCGGCAGGCCAAGTGGACTGCGGCCCGGGTGGTCGTGAAGGCAAAAACTCGGGCCTGGGAGGAGTTTGGTGAGGCCATGGAGAAGGACTATCGGCTGGCCTCGAAGAGATTTTGGCAAACTGTCCGGTTCCTCAGGAGAGGGAAACAGTCCCCTACCAAAGCTGTTTACAGTAGGGGTGGGCAGCTGTTGATCTCAACTGGGGATGTCGTCGGATGGTGGAAGGAATACTTCGAGGACCTCCTCAATCCCGCCGTCACGTCTTCCATTGAGGAAGCAGAGGCTGAGGGCTCAGAGGTGGACTCGTCCATCACCCTAGCTGAGGTCACCGAGGTAGTCAAGAAACTCCTCGGTGGCAAGGCACCGGGGGTGGATGAGATCCGCCCTGAATACCTCAAGTCTCTGAATGTTGTGGGGCTGTCTTGGTTGACACGCCTCTGCAGCATCGCGTGGCGGTCGGGGACAGTGCCTCTGGGATGGCAGACCGGGGTGGTGGTTCCACTTTTTAAGAAGGGGGACCGGAGGTGTGTTCCAACTATAGGGGGATCACACTTCTCAGCCTCCCTGGGAAAGTCTATGCCAGGGTTCTGGAGAGGAGAATACGTCCGATAGTGGAACCTCGGATTCAGGAGGAACAGTGCGGTTTTCGTCCAGGCCGTGGAACCCTGGACCAGCTCTATACTCTCCACAGGGTGCTGGAGGGTTCATGGGAGTTTGCCCAACCAGTCCACATGTGTTTTGTGAATTTGGAGAAGGCATTCGACTGTGTCCCCCGGGTGCTCCGGGAATATGGGGTCCGGTGTCCTTTGCTAAGGGCTGTCCGGTCCCAGTCAGACTTCTTCCCGGTGCATGTTGGACTCCGGCAGGGCTGCCCTTTGTCGCAGGTTCTGGTCATAATTTTCATGGACAGAATTTCTAGGTGCAGCCAGGGGCCAGAGGGTGTCAGGTTTGAGGACCACACGATTTCCTCTCTGCTCTTTGCAGATGATTTTGTCGTGTTGGCCCCTTCACACCAGACCTTCAGCATTCACTGGGACGGTTTGCAGCCGAGTGTGAAGCGGCTGGGATGAAGATCAGCACCTCCAAAACCGAGGCCATGGTCCTCAGTCGGAAAAGGGTGGCTTGCTCACTTCAGGTTGGTGGAGAAATCCTTCCTCAAGTGGAGGAGTTTAAGTATCTTGGGGTTTTGTTCACGAGTGAGGGAAGGATGGAACGGGAGATTGAGAGACCAGTGCAGCTTATGCAGCAATGCGGTCAATGTACCGGACTGTTGTGGTGAAGAAGGAGCTGAGCCGTAAGGCAAAGCTCTCGATTTACCGGTCAATCTACGTTCCTACTCTCACCTATGGTCATGAGCTTTGGGTCATGACCGAAAGGACAAGATCCCGGATAAAGGTGGCCGAAATGAGCTTTCTCCGCAGGGTGGCTGGGCGATCCCTTCGAGACAGGGTGAGAAGCTCGGCCACTCGGGAGGAGCTCAGAGTAGAGCCGCTGCTCCTCCACATCGAGAGGGGTCAGCTGAGGTGGCTCGGGCATCTGTTCCGGATGCCTCCTGGACGCCTCCCCGAGGTGTTCCGGGCACGTCCCACTGGGCGGAGGCCCTGGGGAAGACCTTGGACACGCTGGACACAGATCGCCAATTAATCACACATGTCTCCCGGCTTGCCTGGGAACGCCTCGGTGTCCCCCCAGAAGAGCTGGCGGAAGTGTCTAGGGAGAGGCAGGGCTGGACTGGGACAAAAAAATCGGCCCGGGCATTTTGGCCCAGACTGGCCCACTACATATGAACATAAACACAACTGAACTGTGTATGCCCTTGAATATGTATACCAACAACTCTTATTAAAACCACCAACGCCATCTAATGAGTGAGATGAAATAACTACTAAGTTTAAAATACAATTCTCCAATTGCATTGGCAATACCAGTCTTTCTCACAAGATGTTTAAATAGTATAGGTCAGTGCACCTCTGTCCCTCTAGGGGGGTTCGGTGGCATGCTCCCCCGTAAGCAAATTTTGTGCTTTTTAATGTTAAATTCATAAATCTGGTGCACTTTGAGAGTTTAAAATTAAGAGCTCCAACCCATATTCAGTGTGCAAATTGAACAAAGAAAAACTCAAAACTCTTTTAGTTGGAATATAGTGTCTGTCTACATTACATAATACATAATTAATCATAGTTATAATATTAATCACAAGACAGTTATAGCCATATATTGTAAAACACATGCACTGAAAAATAAAAGCAACTTTCATAATTAGCTTAGAACTCATTTCTGTAACTTGAAAGAGATATAAACACATTATCTTTTATTTTGGCGGAAAACATGGTTTACAAACGGGTCTTATACTCTATAATTCTAGTAAAATGCGGTGAAGTGAAGTCATGAATGAAAAATAATATTAAACTTGTGTTAGTTCCTGATGATTCATGAAATATCAATGCATGAATGAATGCATAATTCATGCATTAATTTATACATGAATTCATGATAATTCATGTACCCTTACCGTAAAGTGTTACCCAGAAGGGTAAACTAACACTAACACTTTGATGTATTCAGCAAATAACAAATTAAATACATTTTGTTGTTTTTTAGTACCATTTTTACCAGGAGTACATTTTCAGAACCACAGCCAAGAAGAATTATAGTTATAGAGAAGACAAGAATAGGACATCTAGAGGTGAACATATGAAGCTACAGGTGGAAAAAGTGTCATATTTTACTACATTTCATAGATAGATACCTTTGTATTTTCTTGAGGTTCAATCTTTTTCTTTTCTTGTCTTTTGGTCTCTTTCTTCCACCACCTGTATATTTTCTTGATCCTCAAATGCTGATAAGGAGACCATACTCTAGGTTCCATGTGCCTTTTTGAACCTGTTGTGTTTGTCAATCATTTTGTTTCTCGTTTCTCTCTTCTCTTCATCCAGCTTGAAATTTTCTGAGCAGATGACTTGCATGTTGCACATCTTTTGTACTCCCTCACATTTCAGGTAGATGCTCTTGCAGGTGTGGTTGAAGGAATTGTGGTGGAGGAGCATGGCAAATCTTTTCAAGTAGAGTTTGCTGTTCAGGTTCCTTGAATTGGACCATCAATAGTTCTGCCACTGTGGAGAAAGATCGTTCTACATCAAGTAGAGTGTGTTGAGGTGCCACTTCGTTACACTCCAGCAGGATACTCCTCCACCTGAATCATCAGTGGTATTCAATTGGTAAAACAATTATGCAACTGAATGATCAATTATCCAATGATGAACTAGCAAATATCAACACTCTTTTACCACTTGCTGATCACTCAATCAGTCTTTTCCTCCTGTTTTCTCACTAATGCTGAATGTTCCCATTTAAAGCGTGGACCAACACCAGCAGGGATTTTGTCAAAGAACCATTCTTTGTAATCCCCTCTTTTCATTGAATCATGGACGGCTCTCAAATCAAGGACTAACTGACTCACTGAACCAAGAATCATCTTTTGAGCACGAGTTAATAAGGACAGTTTTGAATGGCAGTCGAGCCAGTGGGATATACATGTCTTGCAGATTTTGACCTCTGAATGGACAAATTTACATGTGATGACAGTTTCACTGATAATCAACTTCGCAGTATTGATCAGCAAGCCATGTGCATTTAGTAAAGGCCCCGATATACTCACAACAAACTGAAATACTTGACCAGCTATATACTTATGGTGAACATCCCGACACCATCCACACTACTGAGAGCGGCATTTATGTGAATACGTAAATATGTGCTGCAGCTGCACACTTTCCTCTTGATAACACACACAACATAAATGACAGTGGCAAGAAAACAGCAGTTAAGAAAGCATCTGATCATGGCGATGTGGACATGTTTGCACTAGCTCTGTAATTCGGCACACTAGTCAAGCCACGTTCATTTATATAGCAAGTACTTTATACTATAGAATATACAATATAGTTTACAGTTTTAAACAATGTCACATTCAATTCGAATTACTACTATTAAGTATTACAATACTAATATAAATTCCAACTAAAGCAGTTCTCCATTATGTTTTTACTTGCGTTTGACCTAAATGGACTGAACAGAATAAATTAACTGGAGAAGATTTCCATGTCAAAGAAGGCGGAGCCCCAAAGCCACACCTATATTACATAATCGCCATGGAACAATGGTAGTTCAAAAGTGTTTTCCAGAAGGTTCGTTTTTTACAATCGAACAAAAAACAAATACCATTTTGACGTCACACCACTTAATTCTTTGATTGAGCAGAAAGTATATCAGAGCCTTTATTGTGCAAAAAGAAAATTTCACTTACTCAAAAAAGTAATGGGGCCTCTCAAAAAATTTTGTATGCACAAAAATACATGAACGGAATACAAGTATTGAAATTTGTTGGAACAAATCCGGAACAAAGTCTCATAGGAGTTTATACTGAAACACAACCAAAATACTTTCTTAAAATTTTCCATTATGTAAATGTCTCAGATCCTGTTTGCACTACATCACAGAATCAGATTGCTTTGCTATTTGTTCTATAACATTTAATTTTCTTTTCATACAGATTTTACTGTCCCACATCTTCATATGGAGGCATATATAGCATTAAAACTCCTAGAACTAACTGTAAAACAGATATTAAGCTGAGGAGAAGAGGACTTTCTTGAATTACAGTTTTACTCGCGAGACTAGATATTTGGAGAAAACACAATTCCAAGGCAAAGTCATGGCATCTTCATATTTATTTAGAAAATACAATCACATTATGATCAATGTAGAGTATATTTTACATCACAAATGAACAGTCAAAGCAGGCACCACATTAAGCTAATAAATCCCTTTTAGTTTTCACTTTGGTGATGAATGTACAATCGCCACACTTTTCACTGAAGACTAAACAACGATCAAATGTCAGATGAAAATAGCTGATGAAGCCAATTAAAATGACTCCAAACACCTGAAATATCAAATAAAAATGTCTTCCATATTCCCTCTCCATATCCAATAGGGGGGGGGGGGGGGGGAACAATATACAGTGTCCCATTGCAAACATCACTAAAACAGCACAAAATTTTTGCAATTTAAAAATAATATTTTCTATTTATTAGTTGCCATCTGTCTGTATTTTGATATTGCACAAATGATCGAACAATTGCATTTTCAAGAAAGAACAAGAAAAAGTGCATATGCTCTCCTGAAACTGTCAAAACGCCCACAACCTTCACCAGACACATACTTTACAGTGAATCATTATGATGGAATGCACTGCAAGAGTAGACATATTTCAAAGAAAGAAGAAGAAAAAAAGAGCTCTATATTTTAGGGTGGATTTATAATATCTTTGATGCCACTGTACTTTAAAAGACTCAGAACTATGAGCTGACATTTATTCCAGTAAGGCTGTGTGTGTGTGACACTTCTCTTTGAATGGAGTGCGTGTCAAATCAATCATCAGGATACAGTGAAGAAAAATGTGTGGAATTAAACTGAAATTTAAAACAATAATTACACATTTATCACCACAATAGTAATAGTAACAAGCTATATGGGAGAGAGACACTAAAATAAAGTTAAAGTTTTGGATAACCAGTTAACAAGTGGAATGTAACAAGATATACATGGCGGAAATGTGTAGAGTTGACACACCCTTATAATTAATGGGTTTGGGAATTTATGCGAGGACAAATTTCCTTCAAACTGGAAGCAAATATTTCTCTGTAATTTCATTGTATGCGTTATATTCACTGGAATCACTAGAATAGCCAAACTTGGTTACAAGAGGGTGACTCATAAAAAGAATGGAAGAGTAAGACCAAATCATTTTCAATTTTCAACGAGTCGTAAGATATATAAAACGGGGAAAATATTGCATGTAAAATTATAAAATGTTGCATTATTGCCCATGGTAATACCATGGCTTTTAAACATGTACCAGGTAACACCATTGTATTCAGACATGTATTAGCATCATGTCAAAAAAAAAAGTGCATACCTGTAAATATGTAATCACTCAGTAAAATGGCATGTCAAAGTGCAGTGGCACAGTACCAGCCCACTACTTATTTTGCACAGGTGGTCCTTTAGTAAATATGAATGTCATCATGGTGAAATTTACACCTGCTTAATGCTACCAAATGGCCAACAGCCACGTTTCCACTGTCAGGCCAAAAGCGAGCGTGCTAGTGTGTTCCCGGTGCCAGTCACATTTCCATGATTTCATATACCAGCTGACATCAGCATTAAAGACTTTTCAAATCATTTTAGCTCAACTCACTTTAAGACAGTGTTTGAAATAACTTCGGTTTTTGATCCGGTGTCCCCATGCGATGCAGAAATATTTATTTGTGATGCAGAAGACTTTGACTTTGCACGCAATGCGTTTTAAAATGAACACTTGAAATCAGACAAACCATACAGGCTATCACAGTATTTATTTTATCTGTCAGTACGCCTCGTCTCTTTATATCGGACTGTCTGATATCAATTTAGCGTCGCATGCGTCATAAAACAAAGCAACTCCGGTTTTTCGGGAGCTATCTTTGTTTCTCTGTCTGAAAATACAACTGTGTTGGGACTGCCACTGGAGAGAGTGATAAATCTCCTCAGGGAATATGTTTTTGGTGGACAATTTGTAGAAATTATCATTCTTTCTATATGTGATGTAAACACAGACTACAAATAAACAGAAACAAACGTGACTGAACAAGTACGCGTGTCCTTTCTTTTGTGAAATAACGGTAAATACCACTTTATTCCTGTGTGACTAATGTGCAATAACACAAATTAATTAATTATGATCAATTTATCACTTATTATTGTAAAACATCAATGCTTGGGTTTTAAATGTTTAAGTAAACTACAAAAATGCCAACAAACGGCCGCTTTTATCATGTTCGTTTTGCAATCTCGCTAGTTAATTTCTTTCTGACTAGTTTTCTGATAAAACTTCCATTTGTTGGTGAAATGATGGGTTTGTGTGACGTTGTTCAATTACAGGCGGGTTTTAGTGAAGCACTGTGGAGCTTCTATCCCGACGGTGGAAACACAGAGTGGTTTTGGGCTAGGTGCTACAGGTCCGAGACTATTAGCCCAGCCCGGCCCATAGCTTTTGCTGGCTCAACAGTGGAAAAGCGGCTATTATGACAGATTCTCCTGTGATTACGGCAAAAGTTTGCAGCATATAACGTGATTTATGGCTCTATAATCACAGTTGAGGCTGTAATCCAATTAAAATCCATCATATAAAAATATAACAGAAATAGACCTACTTCATAGACCAATAAGATTGCATCAAAAAGTGCAATGCAATTTATCAGTGGCTAGCAGTCACAGTTAAAGCAACAGAACAGAAAACAAACCAACAAACACAGAATAGAGCTTTAAAACGCACACAAAATAGTTTTTTCAGAGTATAGATATCAGAGCAATGAGGAACCCTATATAACCCTTCAGAGATAACAGAACTACTTCCCTGTGAATATCTATTGAGGACGCCACATACCCTAAAGGTATTAGAGCTGCGCTGAAAATCACCCCGATGTTTCAAATCCTCTCCCTCGCCTAATTAAACATTCATTAATGAATAGCTTTTCATGTTAATTAGAGATCTGGCTGGTTTTTTATTAAAACGGAGGCAAAATCTTCATGACGACGCCTATTGTTTAAGGTGATATAAATATGTAGAATCACAAAGATGAGGTTTTATTCTGTAAACAAGAACATTGAAGTCAAAAGCCAGAGGTCGCCCCAATCATCCTCCTTTTTTGATAAGCACCAACCCTCAAAAAAGCAGAGCACAATGGCAAATGATTAAAAAAAAAACTGGCATAATCTATCTAGCATCACAGTATTGACACTAAAGACGTAAAGTAAGAGAGCGTGAGGCAACAAATCTTTAAGTGGTGGAAAATAAGACTGCTCTCCAACACTTTAGACACTGATTTATCTGTAGAATCTAATTTAAACCTGGAAATTACTGGCAGATGATCTGAGAGATTCATTTTTACATTCAAATTAGCAGACGCACAAAACTAACATAAACACCAAGGAATTACAGTCTAGATCCTCCAAAATGTTCCCTTTCCTCAGTCTTAAATTCTCAGTGAAGCTGTCCCATCGTGCTTTGCAAAATGACAGGAGACAACCAGAGAATCTCAACTAAATTATATTGCCAGTAGCCCATGAAGAAACCGAACACCACATCCGTCACATTATGGCGTCCAAGGAGAACCCTAGAAAAACCAACTAAAGTGGCCCAGAGCAGGACAAGAACGCGGAGCGGGGCCGCCAAAACCAGGTGGGCCAACAGAAAGCGGGCGCACATTGAAGCACGTGTGGCATGGCCTGATGGGAAGGAATAGCGGTCCACAGAGAACGTGGCAAACATGTCCATACGGTTATGAGCAGGACGTCGGCGCCGCACTACAGCCTTCACCACGCCGACCAGGACCAGGTCCAGTACCAAGGCTGAAAAAGAAATGACAAAAACGTAAGAAAACTGGACAACCGAGAAATTGATGGATTAGACTGAAGTCTGGTAAACCCATATCCAAACTAAAACTTTGGGTATTTTTCAGTTATAATGTTCATTGTGCTTACAGTATGGAATTCTCTTTATGTTTAAGGTATAAATAACTTCACACATTACAGTTTGAATCACATTAAATACACACTGTGAATTTAAATGCACAACTATAACCACTTTTGCCCTAGTTTCCATAACAAGCACCAGCAATGCCAGAAAATCATTGGATATCCTGGTATTTCTGCATGTAGATTTGTTCAGAATACATGGACAACAAAAAGCAAAGTGATAATCCCACACAGCAATGATAATATCAGCAGCAAGCAGCACTTAATATGATTTATCTGTCAATAACACTATACATCTTTACAGCCTTTCTCTAAATAACACCGCACACTCGCCTGCTCAGTTCAGTGCCAAATGCATTCAGTCAATGGCTTTGCTTCCATCCAATGCTAAAAATTTCATTAGAATATCACATAAAACATCTACGAATACAGCACAGTTTCCACCCCATGTGCTCAAAAGAACAAAAATCATAATTTCCTGGGAAATTGGCACAAAATATCAGTAATAAAAATGGCAGTTTCTGCAAAGCCCCTTTCACACAGAGATTCCAGAAAATACGTGGATAATGTGACACGGCATTTGTCCCGGGATTGTTTGATTTCGGTTCATTCACACTGCCAGTGATTTGCCGGGATCTGTGAGCGCGTTCACACACAACCCGTAAAAATCCCGGCAAGACACATGACATCAGGATGAGACGTATAACGGACGCGTCGAAAACATGTACACGTATACGGTTCCACAAAACTGGTGAACGATCTCAGCTTCAGCACGGATAATGAGGAGCTCCTGGTCTCTGCTTCGTTCCAATTTGCAGACATTTGTTCGTCCTTTCTTTGTTGATGACGAACACATACTTTCTTCTAAGAGGAACAGAGTCGCGCGATGGCACGAGCGTCATCACTATGACACACCCTTTAAGGCATTTGTCCTGGCTTTTGTTCACACAGCACGCATTCCGGGACTGATTCCTGCAATGTTGCTAGGTCCCCAACCCGGATTCAGTCCCGGTATCAAACCCGGGTCGTGTTTGCGCTCACACAGAAGCCGTTCTGGCAATTTCCCGGGATCAACGCACTGTGTGAAAGGGGCTCAATTGAGAAAGCCACTGAGGCTATTTTTTTCATTTATTATAAATGAGTTGCGCCTCAGCGTGAGCCACGTTATTCTACTTGAGGAAGAGCACGCCTGGTGTTTGGGAACACAATCACGTGAGAGCGAGACACTTCCGGAAGGTCATTAAACCCAACCATTCTGGTGACAGACTTTGGCTCAGGCATTTCTGAATGACCAAACCAACATTTGAGATTCTGTGCAATGAAAATGGTCAAAGTCGTAGTATCTTTATTTGTCTCCCCAAGGAGAAATTTATTTTTGACCTGATTTTTGACCTGATTTTTGCTGCAAGGGTTTCAACAGAGAAACCACAAAAGCACAAGGTTAAGACAAAAAGGCGAAAGTACATAGAACATTTGGGCTACTCAAAGGAGCTGTGCAAAGTGCGCATTACCGTGTTCTATTGAGAGTGAGGAGTCACATGACGATTTGGGCGGGGTCTGAGCCAGTCGGCCATGATGGTAGGAGACGCTATCGGCTGCCAGGGCAGGGGCAACTCCTTCAAAACTTCACAGAGGCGCAACTAAACCAAGCGTGCCGCACAAGCCCTCAAAAGTGAAGCCAAAACGTCTCGATCGCCCCCTAGTGACCGGTCCTAGTATAGGTCATAAACCCCGCCTCCCTATGTTATTCAACGAGACGTGAGACCAACTAAACCATTAAATTACACTTCACATATCCTTTTTCCAAAGATAGTTTCTGTCATTTACTGTAGTTTCTATCACGTTGATGTAATTTCAAGAGTTTGTTTTTAGATATTTGATGCTATAAAATCGGTGCTCTGACATCATGATTGACAGCTGTGATTGACAGGTTCTCTGTGCGAAATAGTCAGTGAAGCACCAACAGACTTTTTTTCAAAATGTTGACTGTGGTTATTAGTTGTATTTACCTTATTTTAACGAGGTACTGCAATCAGCAGACATCATTGGACAGGAACGGAGCAGACAGAGGCCACTTAAGAAAAGTACAGGGCGTGTGCTAGCGATTGATTTAGTGAGAGTGAGGGCGGGGCCTTGATTTCACGGCTTTAATTCCTGCTCACGACTGCGTGTCTGGTCCCGAAAACGCAAGTGCGCAGACTCAAGTACCAAGATGTCAGCGCCATATCGGGACATTGGCGGCTTCAGTTCTCTCCGATGGAAAAGAGCGAAGGGGCGTCGTCCATCTTTTTTACAGTCTATGGACTAAACATTCCAGCAATAGTGAGAGAGAGAGACAGCGCAGTGCAGTATTTGTTTACATTTTAGCAATACGCCGCAGTTTCTTTGGAAGATATGGAGAAGGAAGAGAAAAGAAAGGGTTTCTATATCGGGAGACTCAATAGCAATGCTAGCCAGCTTTATTTAGAGAAACTGCTTGTCAATAAACTGACAGCAGCAACAGCGAGCGAAGCATGGTTTGTTTCTAATGACTTAAAGCTTCTGAACTCTTGCATTGTGTAGGCAGTAACGTTAGGCACTGATACCATACACCAGGTAATTGACTGTCAGGGTATCTGAAAGGTGGTAGTGCTTTGGGTCTTTAGCCCATTCTGTAGCAGGTTGTACACATCCATGTTGTTGATGTCAAGTAGTTTCTCTAAATAACGCTGCTTGGTGTTGTTATTTAGTCTCTCCCGATAGAGCCCATAGCTCAAAAGCTCCTCAATCATGTTTGACTGAACTGATATATTTTAAGCTATTCTTCATTGTATCAACAGAGAATATGATATATGATACTGTAGACCCATTTTAGTAGGTCCTGTTCATATGAACCATTAAACCATCATGGCCAACTCCACTTGATTACATATGAAAGACATTTTTTCCACAGTGATGAGTGGAAAGATATTTTCAAAAAACGTTGCTTGATTAAAGCTGCCCCTGAACACAAAGCTTATGATTACCAGGATTAATTAAATGTTTCATAAAACATGTTTAATTAGGCAAAATCTCTGGAAAGAGATCAAGCACGGCTGCAGGACCTGCTGTGCATATCTCTGTATTTCAGAAACAAGCCGAGTTGGCCATTCAGCTCAGCTGTAGTTTTAAAACCTGTCGACGTTAGTGAATGGGATGTCAAAGCAACAAGGGCGCGAGTGGAACGACAATCGCCGTAGCGGGATCGGTAAGAGAGTGATTATCGATCCATTTTCCCTCTGGGAATACTGCTGAGAATCATGATTAATAAATCTGGATCTCTTGGCAGCAACAACCAAGAAGCCTTTCACAATTTAAATGGGTTGCCAATGATCCACATCAATAAAGGAAAGCCAGAATGAATGGAAAACTGCCTCACCTGCAGATCCCCCTGGTACTGAAAACATTTGAAGGAAAGAGGGGTCCAAAAGAAAAGATCAGGGATGTTTCATTGGGAAGGCGGGAGCAGAGGAAGTGGGTTATGATTTGCATCATACATCATAGAAAATGAGCCTGAAAAGGACCAGAAAGAGTGGGGAATGCAGAAATGCAAGAAACCAAAATTGAAGCCAGCCTGGATATTAGCTGTGACTAAAGAATGCAGATAAATGAATGATCATGCAGATGTATGGATGATGTATAGATTCATGATCATGACTTTACAAAAAAAAAAGGTATACCTCAAATGTGAATTCTGAAGCTGGTCTTTTTAAATGAGAAAATCCTAAAAGATTACCAGTAGTGGCCAAATCATTTTGACTCTTTCCTCAGTTCACAACATGAATTGTAACTGCATTATTGTCACGGTCTAGGCAAGACACTGACCCAGAATAGATGTTAAAATAAAAGTATAGCCACAAGACTACTTTGAAAGAATTGCTCACCAACAACACTGGCTGTGCAAAATAAAATTGTATCCTTTTTTAACTTCTATCACACGGTAACTATTGCGATATATACACAAGAATACCAGGAAAAGCGTTCACTGAAAAATCCACTTACATCTGAACATCCAAAAAGCTACTGTATAAATAATAATAGAAAAAAATAAATAAATTTGCTAACTAAATAAATTTTATTAAAATAATAAATGCATGAAAATAAAATAAAAACATTTTGACTTAAATGTTTTAAACCAAAACGTTTATATATATATATATATATATATATATATATAAAGAGAAGATATAAGAAAAGATATAACTGCATCCTATTTTAGGATGGGGGTCGCTCACATGTGGTCCCAGGCATCTAAACGATTGAAAACCCCTGGTCAATAGTGTAATTTTTGAACTCGAGCATTTCTTTGTGAGATAATAAGAGCGGATTACCCATGAGCAGGTTCAGCATGACCTCCTGACCGGCGACACTGTCGCTTTTATACAGGCAGTACGCGGCACCGGCCAGCCACGCGATCCCGTGCCCAGAGATCTCGATGAGCTTCATGAGCGGCCGCACGCTGCCCCAGGACGAGTCCTCGCAGGCGCACACCCCGAGCCGCTTCGACAGCCACAGGTCGATGGCCAGCAGGGAGCTGAACGCTATGCCGAAGAAAGACGGGTTTAACTTCATGCAGTCCTCCTCGGGTAACTGCTGCCCGCCACCGGTGGAGGAGGTCGACGAGCCCGATCCGCGGCGTCGGCTGGGGCTCTCGGAGGCTCTGAGCCGGGCCGCGGTGGGGTCTGAACCCTGCCTCTGCAGCAGCTGCGGCGGTGGGGGAGTTCGGCTCAGAGAAATGAACTCATAGCGCCCGTTTCCACCGGTGCACGGGACGCTACCGCTGCGCCCAGAGCCGCTCCGCGCTTTAGGAGAAGGCATCTTACCTCACTAATGCCAAGACAGACTAGAGTGTCTTCTGTTTTATTAAATAGCTTTTGGATGCGTCTTTTTTAGGTCATCGTTTTACAGGTGATCACAGAGAACTCGTTTGACTGGACTTCCCCCGCAGCGCCATCTTTGAACTGCAGCTTACTCTGCGCAGTGCACACTGGGAAAACATGTTTGATTCAACCATGTGACCAAATTAAAAAATAAATTAACATCATTATTATTGTATATATTATTGTATATATATATATATATATATATATATATATATATATATACAGACATTTAATTTATACATATATTTTACAAATGCAATTTATTTATTTTTTAATTCACAATGCATTTATTTTAAATAAATATTTATTTTTATAGTTTGTTTATTTATTTATTTAATTCAAATAATCAATTCATTCTAAATAAATATTATTTTTTAATCCAATGTATTTGTTTATTTAGTTAAATAATTTATTAGTTATTATTATAACTACACTGCTTTTCTCTAAACTTTTTTCCCCTAGCAATTTTTGAAAACCGCTGCCCTAGACTACAAAAGTGGACAAAAACAGCAGCAAAAACCAATTAATAACAGCACTTTCATTAAAACTCAGATTTTAACTTAACATGTTTTACAGGTTTCTTTTAAATCAAATTTTGAAATATGTCACAACATACCCCATGTAAAAAGTTTTATGACAAAACACTGCATATTTTCTTTAACCTTTGTGTTCTATGATGTGATGAGTCTCTTGTGTTTTACTTAACATACGATATGAGAATAAATATGCAATACAGTAGTTATTACAAAGTAATGTGTGCAATACAGCACTGGTCTATAATGTCAAAACCACACAATAGTTATAATAAACACCAACATGGAGAAAAAATCAACATGAAGAAAGCAGCTGTCTGATATTTTAACAAAAGTCTGACTTTTGTTAAAAAGACTGCTCCAGATCATAGCTTCAGACGCGTCAGCTCGCCCACCATGTTGGAACGGTCGGCGTGTCATCATTCACAGTAGAATCGATGATGGTGCCATAACATTGTGTAGGCTAGCTTCTGGTTGTGAAACCTCAACTTTGTCTATATGATAACTTGTTTGTTTGTGTTTTTACATGTATTAACACAATATTATAGGTTATTACGCTATTGTAACTTTTTTAACGTCGTATTAGCTGACGCCTTCATCTTGTTGTATTGTGTTACTCTAGCAAAATCATCTGCTGAAGTCTATTGTAAATATAAGTTGCAGATGCACCCATAGATATCTATATAAAGGCTAGATGTCTCACGGCGGAGTATTATCGTCTTCACCAGCGGCCATCTTGTCACAGACAGGCTTTCTGGCGGGCTCTGTGGTATCTGATGTAAGAAATACTTTTATCTCGTTGAAATCTTGACGGATTTACAAACGGTTGGTTTCTTACAAACGTTATTAATGTGACTATAATTCTGGATGATTATTTATTCATACACTTATTATTCATAAGTAAGCAGTAACTACATCTCTGAAAATCGGTAGAAAATGGAGCAAGTTATGGTGATTTAAAAAGTACATGCACCATTAAAACAATGTTACCAGTGAGCAAACTGCCTGTGACAAGATGGCCGCCAGGTGCTGACGTCGACATCCATTGGCCAGCAGCGCGGACGAAAAGTCTAGCCTTTATACAGATAACTATGGATGCACCAACAACTTCTCACGAGTAGTTCACGGACCGGTGTTTTGACCGTTCAAATATGGCGGACGGCTTACCGACTTTTACTGTCTATGCTTACCGATGATGCATCTATGTAGTTTATATGCAATTATAAAATAATTAATTTTGCAGAAAAGAAATAATTGCATTTTTACATGAGCTACAAAACGTTTGAATCATAAACGCTGAAAATAAATTTAAAACTGAATTTAATATTTGAGTTTAGGGATGTGTCTGTTTCGTCCAATCAGAACCGCCCACTCCTCTGTCTTCCTGCTACATGAACCTCCATTCCATGGTTACATGTGCGGACTACAGAGAGACCAGACTCGTTGAAAACAACAGTCATGCCTGGAATTCTGTTGGGAGACGTGTTACCTAACTTTGATGCAGAGACTACAATCGGCAAGATAAAATTTCATGAATTCTTGGGAAATTCGTAAGTAGCTCAATCGTATGTTTGTTTCAGCTGCCCTAACGTTACTCGGAAAACTCTGTAATGTACATTTAATGTGCTTTTAATTCAGTCATGATCATTAGGTGGCTGACCTGATCGATACATTAACGTTACTCCTATATGGCATTTGGAGATTAAAACACGCCTAACGTTATATGTCAGATAGTGCGTTGTACTTCAACATTATATCTCTAACGTTACTCAAATAATCAGTTAGTTGGTTTATTTTTTCATTCAGAAAGCTTTTCTTTATGACTCCACGACAGCGCCATCCGGGTTTTTATGACATGCGCTGACGTAGCACACGAATGAATGAACTTCGTGTAATAACACAAAGCAAACTATTTTGTTAATCATAACTACTAGTAGAAATATTAATCCACCTTTTTTAAAAAAAAAATATACATCAATGTTTCATTGCAATTAACCAAATAACACATTTCTCAAAGTTATGTCAGATATTACTGCAGACTTCATTTTCCTTTAAACCATTTGCTTTCATTGTAAAAGTGTAAAATCTGATTAGTCACTGTCATAGACCGCAAAATAGGTCACTGTGGCTGTAAGAGTTAGCATAACAATGGCTGTTATTGTTGAGAAGTGCCAAAATGGAAGTCCCCCATATTCTGCCAAAACACTTTTATTATAGGCTATTCATTAAAAGCGAATGCCTGGAAAGTTTAGTTTAAAATAATTTAAAATAACTTAAAGTCAGGCTAATTATTTGTAATTCACTTAAAATAAAAACATGATATTTGTTTATAATATCTTAATATCACCATGAAGTCGAAATGGACAATTCTTATTTTATTATGGAAGATTGCAATAATTCATATACACTATTTATTTGTGTACACTTTTTTATTTTTATTGTTTTAATTGATAAAGACTGATGCAACTTCCATTTTATGCTTGCCTAAATATCTACATGCTTTTTAGTAGCCTTTAGCAGATTAGAGCTGGGCAATAATAGCCTATCAAGCAGTTGATATTTGCTAGTGTATATTCAACTCAAATGCATATTAAATATTGCCACATGCCAGTATAGGATTCATGTTTTTTAATGAAATATGCACATAAGCATAGCAGCATGAACTGACCTGAAATGTTGCATTATTAATATTCAGGATGTGTTCCTATTCTCAATGTATTATCTAACAGAAAAGAGGGCCTGTCCGTGGTCTCCATTTCAAGCCAAACATCTGCCTCTTAAGAGGTCCTGCCCTTGGGAATGGAAGATGCTACAGTTGAAGCATTTAACAGATGTTGTGAATAAGAGGATGTTTAGCAACTCTTTGTTCTGCATTTCCCAATTTAGAGTTTTGCATTGCAGAAGTCTGCACAATTCTGTCAAAATGATCCGATGTGAAGCTAGACGGGTTGTGACGAGATTTTGCAAGAGTTTGAACTTCCTTTCATTGTGAGGATCACGTAATGTGACACGACCTCCAGAGTTTGACGCTGTTTCTTTAACAGCAGTCAAAACAGCTGTTGGCTTTGAATAAGAAGTGCTGCCCTGTGCTTTTCTACAAAACAATACTGCAAATCTTTCAGGCCGAATGGAGATTACATTTATCTAGCTGATTAGAGATGCCAATAACTTCACAGTTAGATAAAGAGAATGTTCTCAGACATACTCAAATTCTTGTCTACAGGGAGTGAATCATTCTTGACCCTGTAATTTGGGAAAAAACATGTGACATGATTACACAATCCCAGTGTAATGAATTGTCCATACACCCACATGATTTCCAGTCAAGGCTGTTTTGAAATGGTTCAACAACCTGCCATTCGTAAACTAGTTTGAATTTTTAATCAGTGACCATTTAACTGAATTGGTCTTTCTTCTTAGAGGAGTATTTCACCAATGACAAGATGGGCTTTTAACTCTTTCCACGGCATTAGAGTTTTTCATCAATCTATGTTTTCACTGTTATACGTTAGGGTGTGATACCTATCTTCTGAGTGCAGAATCCCCGGATCAAAACGCAGGTGAAGCAGAAGTAAGCGATAAAAGCATTGCTTACATGTTAAATAACGCTTTCATCAAATGGCATATCAAAGTGTTGATTTAAAAAAAAAATGCCAAAAGGAAGAAAGTTCAATCAACACCCATAATGCACTGGGGTTGATCCCTGAGCAGGGATACAAAATAAAAAAAAATAAAAAAAATCTCTGTACAATCTTTTGCTAACAAATAAATGAGATTCCTGTGCAGGTAACACTGATAAAGATTAAACATGTTCATGTACACTCTACTAACACTGTTGAAAATGTGCAAAGTTATCTTTTTAAATGTATCTTTTAAAAGTATGTATTTCTTAGCTTCCATCTTGTTTTTTCCTCTTTAGGTGGGGTATCTTATTCTCGCACCCACGCGACTTCACTCCAGTGTGTACGACTGAACTAGCCCGCGCTGCGAAGCTTCACGATGAGTTTAAGAAACGAGACGTGAAGATGATCGCACTGTCCATCGACAGCGTGGAGGACCACCTCAAATGGAGTGAGGTGTGCAGATATGACGCATGACATGCCAGAAATAATTATAAAATTCTAATTTATTTTACATATATATATATATATACACACACACACACACATTCAAAAGTTTGGGATTGCTAATATTTTGAATGTTTTCAAAATAAGTCTCTTCTGCTTACCAAGGATTGATTAATTTAAAAACAGCAATATTGTGGAATTTTTAGGGCTGTCGAACGATTAATTGTGATTAATCGCATCCAAAATAAAAGTTTGTGTTTGCATAATATATGTGGGTGTACTGTGTATAATTATTTTGTATATATAAATATACACACATGCATTTATATTTAAGAAAAAAATATTTATTTATAAAATATGTATATTTATATATAATATAAATTATTTATAAATCTATATACAGTATATACATGAAAATATTTATTAAATATATACAAGCATATATATATGTATATAAGAATTATACACAGTGCACCCACATATATTATGTAAACACAAACTTTTATTTTGGATGCGATTAATCGCGATTAATCATTTGACAGCCCTAGGAATTTTATTCCAATTTAAAATGACTGTTTTCGGTTTGAATGTTTTAAAATATGATTTATACCTGTGATGGCAAAGCTGAATTTTTAGCATCCTTACTTTACTTTTCAGTGTATAATAAAATGGTTATTATAAAAGTGCAACATAAAATGGTTTATTTTAAATTGTAATAATATTACTTAATAATTATACTGTATTTACCCAATAAATCTTTTTGAAAGTAGTATAAACTTATGAAAGATTGAATGCTACTCATAAACAGAGGTTTCAGATGTCACATGGGCCTCCATGGCTTAGCATTCAATGATGCTGCATTGTTTTGAGACTCTTCCAGCTTGAGCATCCAATCATTGGCCTGTAGCTCTTAGATAAGCACACAAAGGACTTCTCTGATTGGTTCAGACAAAATCACCTTACTGTAATCCCAAAAGGAAAGAATTTCTGCAGCTGACTTTCTCTGAAATCCTCACTGAACAGGGCTGGTATCTTGTTACAAGACATCTGGCTTCCCAAGGGTCTGAACTTGTTCAAAAGTTGCATAACATAATTGGAAACGCATTAAAACTGCTTTGTAAAAAGTTAAGGCACATACTCTATTTGCCAAGATTGTGCTTCTGTTGTTATGCTTCGGTCTGTCTCTTTTAACGCTCTTAAACTCCTTTAACGGACATACTCTCACACCCACATGTGCCTTTGGCTGAACTCTTTCTGAATTCATGTGAATGCCACAGACAGACGTTTCCCACAAGACAGTGTTTTGTTTAAACTTAGTCACTGTGTACTCTGACTGTTTTACCACAGCACTCTTTAATACTCATTATGTGCAAATATCCAAATGTGTACAAGTAATGCTCTTATTGGTAAACCATTTATTAACCAATATTTTCCATTATTAATGGCCTTGTTTTTGTAAAAGGAGTTTTATAAATAAAAGTTAATTTACAATTTCCTTTTAATAAGACTTCACATGTTAAGATGACTGACTGATATCTGCAAAAATTGTACAAAATTACTCCATATTCACGCTTCTTTGCTCTCTCTCTCTCTCTCTCTCTCTATAGGACATTATGTCATTTAACCAAGACAAAGCCTGCTATCCCATGCCGTTCCCCATCATAGCGGATGACAAGAGGGAGTTATCTGTCTTACTGGGGATGCTGGACCCTGATGAGAGAGATAAAGACGGGTTGCCCCTCACTGCCCGTTGTGTGAGTTTCCATCACAACCATGCTTTAGGGCCTTGGTTGGTGTATGTAGTTTAGAGAAGAGGGCCTTTGAATATGGCCTCAGATGAAGGAGGTTTTGGGCTGCATTTAAAATTGCATACTTGTAGTAGGCGAAAAACAATATCTGACAGAAGTAGTATGTCCATTTACCAGTACTCATAAAAGAGAAGGCAAAAAGTACCTTGATGACCTACTACTACTACTACTACAGTCATGGCCAGAATTATTGGCACCCCTGGTAAATATAATTTAAAGTCTGTAAAAATAAATCTGCATTGTTAATCCTTACCAGGGGTGCCAGTATTTCTGGCCATGACTGTATCGGTGAGATTCTGAAGTGTGCATACTTTAGACACTTTACAATCCCACAAGGCCACGGGGGAGAATTTGTGAATGGCAGAGAAGCAACACAACTGACGCTGGTTGGTCACATGATAATAACAAGATGGCGAATGTAGTACGCCAGATTATATTTGTACTACACACACTTTTTTTTTTAGCAGTCACAAAGTAATTACTACTTCAAATACAAAAAAAAATAAAAAATACTACAAATAAAAATAAACAAACTTGATGGGAGAATGTGTGCACCTTTAAGCAAACTTTGAGCCGTGTGTACGCACATTCTGGAGACAAAGGGAATAGGCTACACAGATAGTGAGCTGGAGTTAAATGTCTTTTTGGTCACTTTTAGACCCAAAATCTAAAGAAAATTACAGCCTATAGGCTACAGAAAGATACCACAAAGCCAATCACTTGGTGCCAATATCTATCCCTTCTCAAGTGCTAAATAAAAGCCTTCTTTTAGTTTTTATTAGTCCTAATAAATAGCCTACAGTGCATGCTCTCAATTCTCAACAGTTGTTCTCAACAGTTTAAATAAATGAAAGAATGATTTAAACTGTTTTACTTCTGATATAAACATTTAGATTAAATATGCCATTCTCATTAATGGAGTTAAACACTTAAACTACATGAAATCATTACTGAGAAGTTACAATAGATATGCATATTTGTTGTGGATGCAATGCTTTTGAACACTTTTCCTCTAACATGCTGTGTTTTAATGTTTTAACTAGAGATAATTGCTAATCATGATAATAGCAGATTGTTTGAGAAAATAGTTCCATGCGAATAATGCACAACCATGTCTATCTGTTCCCATTAAAAATATAAATGAATTAAAAATACTATTTGGCCAGTGGAAAAGATTGAAAAAAATCTTTCTCTGAAATGCATTTTACACTATTTGATTTAAAAACAAGGCAAGGATGTAGGCTACTTAAAATAATAATAATAAATATAGCTGCAAGCAGCAATACCGGGGCCAAGTGCAAAGACGACAAGACAAGACAAGCCAACATGTGTCAGACCAACTGCAGCAAGGAGCAATTGAAGACATTTAAAGATGAATTTAAGCAAAATGGCTTAAATTACAAATACAGTAACTTATAAAATGATTCAATGGTTTATCACTATCGAACAATAGGTGGCGCAGTTATGAAATCGATACATTGTGTTCAGAGTGAGATGACAATAATTTATTGTGACACGGCACATCTGTATTTAATATTTTCCTAACGACTTTTTTCTTAACACGGTATCACGTGGATGAATAATCATATGAAAATGATGATGATATGCATATTTAAACTAGGCGTTGTAAGCACCATATATGGTTATTTTGGGGGAGGAGACGCATGTGCGCACAATCTTCGGCTGACTGGATTTGTAAAGTGAATTCTGCGCAGGCTCGAACGGTTTTATAAATCTGAATATTTTTTGGCGTAAGCCATTTTTGGCTTTCGGGTGCACGTACAATTTATCCTACGCACAGTTTTATAAATGAGACCCCAGAGCCTGAAAAGGTGAACGTGAAACTGATCTGGCTGACTAAATAACTGTTGATGTTCTGCTGCATGCAACATTTCCATTGCCCCTTGTACCCGCATATATCTAGTCTTCGCTATAATATTAGACTTTTGCAGAACTGGTATGCTACTAAGGCAAGAAAACACTGAGGAACTTGCCAAGAGAAGACGTATCAATACATATAAAAATCCATTGGTTAAATGGTCTTTGAATAAGATTAGTGTGGTGTTATCTCATTAGGCCACTAGTTATGAAGGTGAAATGGTTTTTGTATAATCCCTTACCACATTTATTATATTTCAGGTGTTTGTGGTTGGTCCTGATAAGAGGCTGAAGCTGTCTATCCTCTATCCAGCCACCACGGGGCGCAATTTCGATGAGATTCTCCGCGTTATAGACTCCCTGCAGTTAACGGCAACAAAGAAGGTGGCCACACCTGTGGACTGGAAGGTAGAAACAGTCTTTGATACTGTACTTTATGTAATCTAGTCCCTGAGTGTGTATACATTTCTTTCTCTCATATTGCAGAGCAGTTGTGTTTGTTTTTATGTGGTAAAAATTGTGAATGTGAACTAGAATGTTGCAAACCTAAACTTCACTGAATGTTTGTTTGAAATTGTTAAATTTTTTTTTTTTTTTCTAAGCCTGGTCAAGAAGTCATGGTCATCCCTTCTCTCTCAGATGAAGATGCCAACAAGCATTTCCCAGCTGGTTTTACCCTCAAAGAGGTGCCTTCTGGGAAAAAATACATTCGCTACACCAAACCATAATGGATAAATTAAGTTAAAACTGTAGAAATGGCACTTAACCGACACCATATTGTAGTCCACTTGATGTGATGCGTTCTCCCGCTTGACTTCTCCCATCACCTGCTATTAAACAGACGAATCAAGAAGTTAGTTCATAAAGTGACACATCATTAGGTCATTACATACAATATAATTGTTTCGTGCCTTAATTTCAATAAAACTGTTCCTTTTGTAATTTACAAAGGTTGAGTGTTTGTTCAATAAATAAAATTGAATACTTGCTATTTAAGTAGTTGTGTAGGACCAATGGGATTTCACCGTCTATGGGCTTCACAGGGACCAATCAAATGTTTGTTTTCCGGAGTCGTGACTGGTTCGGACGGGAGGCGGTGTGAAATGGATGCATTGCAAATGTCTTTTAACCATAGATCAGGTTTCATTATATAGTAAGGTGTAACGTGAGAGTTCAGTAGTATGCTTGAGAAAAATTCACAAAGATGAGGAAACTAAAAGTGAACTTTGACTCCATTGAGAGAATGAGGAAAAAAACTTTACCAGAACGAACTTTGATCTACATGAAATCTACAGTACATTGACCTGACTGTATGTTCATGGTGGTATTGTGTATGACTTCTCACTTATACTGTAGCTGTTAGATGAAATATGGAAAGTTGAAATTATTGAATCTACTAATATATTTGTTATAATTTTATTTTATTTATTATTTAAAATACACTTCCGTTCCAAAGTTTTGGGTCCGTAAGATTATTTTAAGTGTTTTTGAAGGAAGTCTGTTCGATTTTTGATCAATTACAGTGCAACAAATAATATTGTGAAATTATTAAAATGTAACTTCTTAATGTTTTAATACAGCTGTCAAATCAATTAATCTAACATAAACGTTTGTTTAAAACACACACAAAATATGGTGGGTGGAATTATTCTTTTTAGATATCAGAAAGGTGAATTTTCTATAAATTTCTCCATTCAAGTTGCCAAGGATTATGTCTGATTAAAGTCAAAATGCTATTTTTAAAAACTAAAGGCAGGTAAAATTGTGACACTGTTCTATCACATATTTCATGGGGGGGGGGGGGGGTGATTTAATTAGTCTTATGTAAAATTAGCAGTTCTATCCTCCATGTGTCCTAACATGACCCTGAAAAATAGTAAACAATGCCCTGCACCACATTGTAATATCCAATAGGTGGCAGTATAACATCCCTGATTGAATCTCAAAACAGCATTTCATACACCTACAGCAATGGGTCAATGTTTTATTTGACAAGTTTATAAAGTCAAGCATTAAGATGACAAATTACATAACCGCCCTGTTGGTATGTTTTTGAACTTTCAAACCATGTCGATTGACCCACAAAAAAGCTCTGATGAATCATCAAACTGTGACGCCAAACATCAACTCTGGGTGTCAATGAGGCGTGAAAGGATGCCTTGTTATCACAAGCATTCCGTTTGTCCATTAAAAGCTGAAAAATGTTCCCACACAGGCACTTAGCGGAGTAAATCATTGACACGATCCCCATTCCTCGGCTGCCAGCAGGAAGCGCCCTCCTCAGCTTTGGCCCTGGGTTCTGAGAAGCAGGTGATGGCGCTAGTGATGAGTGTGCGGGGACTAGCATGGGCTTTGGGTTACCACAACTATTCAAGCAATGTCACTGCAGCTCGTATAACGGGGTGAAGGTCATGGAAGCTATGCGACTTGACGGCGAGGGCCAGATGCTCTTTTGCTTCAGAGTAGAGGACAGATTTCCTCTCTTTCTCCCTCCCAAAGAATGTCATGAAAACAGACAGGGATTCCCCTCATTGTCCAGTAAAACACAGATGGCATGTATTTTGATGGTGGGATGCTACTGTCTCCGGAATATGGGCCGGATGAGTCACTGGCGGTGTCCGTTACCCTCTCACCCCCCTTGACTCATCAAAGAAATGGCCTTTTCCACCAAATGATGGTTTTAACAGAGAACAAGCACCACTAGATGGCAGTAGCACTTCACTGCGCTGGAGGTTTTCTGCACTTCATTCAACAGCCACTACTTTGATCTTAGAATCAATCTAGTGTCTTTATTAACCCTCGTGCGCTGTTCGATTTCTGTGCACACCCTTTATGGAGCGAGCGGGACGGGTCAAATTGACCCTAATTGGATTCCATACAATTCCTCAAAAAACACACTATGAAAAACAACAAAGATTCAGATACAAACTGAAAACTTTTAATATCAAACATTAGAAAAAAATTAATTCTGACCATATGATTTATGTAAATGTTTTTTTCTAGTGCTGTCAAAGATTAATCGCGATTAATCACATTCAAAATAAAAGTTTGTGTTTACATAATATATGTGGGTGCACTGTGTATAATTATTTTGTATATATAAATACACACACATGCATGTATATTTAAGAAAAAAATATATTATTTATATATAAAATATTTAAATATCATAAATTATATATATATATATATATATACACACACAATATATATATATATATATATATATATATATATATATATATATATATATATTGATGTATATAAATTTCTACAAAAAAAGGTTTGGTTAAAAGCTAGGTATTTCAAATATTTATAATATAAATGGTTATTTTACTATATCTGTGTCTGACAAAGATTTTCATCTGTAATTAATTTACAAATAATTCTGAACAGCGTGATTTTGCTTTTTCAAGTGTGTTTGGTTAGAGTTAGAGCACTTTTAGATACACTTGCACTTTAGAACTTGAGTTGAAGTGCCCTTACATAAAATGAAGGTTTTTATTTTGTGCCTGTACAATTGCTTTTGAATAGCTGTCCATGAGGGTCAGATTGACCCGCGCATGCAACAGTAATTTTGTTTGTATATGTCAAAACACATCAGCATTTTGAAACTTTGCATTCATGTTCTTGATGATAAATGAGAAAACGTCACAAAATATCAAGAAGAAAAAAACAAAAACAAAGGCTAACAGTATTTCCAACAACTAGAAAATCTAAACGGGTCAAATTGACCCGGAACATAATGCAAGGGTGTTTCGCACGGTGATACTGAAGGATGTATTACAAATCAGGGAAGGGCCATCAATGTCAGGGGCCTCCAGCTGAGGGGCCCGAAACCCGGAAATAAGTCACTGCAGATGTAAGATAGATGAAAATTGCTTGAATATGCTGACAATTGCTATAATGTGTAATAAACAAAGAAATGACAAGAACTGTCTGTTCATTGAACCTTCCACAGTACTAGTGCCCTGTTTTAGTGCCCGGGCGTATTTGCTGTGAAATATCATTATTTGTCCATTATGTAAAAAGTATCACGGTTTGGTTTTAAGGATATGCAGTTGGTTGCAATTAAAAGTTGTGAATGGGTCAAAAATCAAACTGAATGGGTATTTTGTTAGTGTTAATTCGAACATCACAATGGGTGGTTCTCTTTGTGATATTGAGCAGGACTTGTTAGTCCAATGGCTGTTTATTAAGAGTATTGTAAGTCACTTTGCATAAAAGTGAATGGATAAATACCAACTTTAGGTAACACGTTATTAATTCGATCTTAATAACAAAATCATTAGTTTATACATTATGAAACTATACTTTATAATTCTATATATTTGTTGAGCTGTAATCATACTATTTTGTGGTAGGTTTCTATAACATTGAAGAATGAAAACCAATTCAACCTAGAAACAAAATCAAGACTTTTAATAGATGAAAATCAAGAATAGTTTTTGTTCTGATGATTGAGATTAACTTTTGAACCTGTAATATTCCTTTAAATATAGTGTGTGTTCATGTGATACTGAAATATGCTGTCTTGTGTTTGATTTGTGAAACAGGAGACCTTCGAGAATAAGCAGGCCCGGCGTTAAAGCGACACATGAGAAATGGGGGCTGCGAGGGGTTAAAGAGGGGATTCTCACAGTCACATGCTCACACACACTTCATACGTGCATATCACGTATGACGAAGAGTTGACGAGGCACTTCTACGGATCAAACTAATTTCTCACACACCAGACCACAATGGCAAGTGTCAGAATATTGCGAGTGACAGACGTTACCTCTTCCCCGTCACAGAACTACACACACACACAGAAGAGAGTCAGACCGACGGTCTCCATAGTGTAACTCCTAAGGGGGTACTACACGCTCCACTCTCCCAGAATAACCACTGTCTAGCCAGTACTGCGTGTGTGTGTGTGTGTGTCAGTGGTGCCAGTAGTGCCAGTAGGCCATAGACTGTGGGCCTGGTGGGACCTGTACTTATGAGAGAGCATACTGGTGAGCTGTGAGTAACGCTCTTAAGGTGTGTATGTGTTTCAGTGCTGTGGGGACGCCAAACTGACAGGGTGCCAGATGTCAGCTGGTATCACATATCAGTCAACAACAGAGAGCCCGCTCCCTAAAGACCTCTCCACGCTTCCCAACTACTGTTTATCTTCCCCGGAGTTGACGAACAAAGAACAGGGAAGCAGGATTTGATTATTCTACTACAGTATATATGTATATATATGGAGTACAATAATCAAATCCTATAGTATAGTTTAGTATATATACTGTCTTATACTCGTCAAATGTTTGGAATATTTTCTAATGTTTCTGAAAGGCATCTGTTATGCTCATCAAGGCTGCATTTAATTGATCAGAAATGTAGTAAAATTAGTAATGTTGTGAAATATTATTACAATTTTAAAGAACTGTTTTCTATTTGAATATATATTTAAATGTAATTTATTCCTGTGATGGTAAACCTGAATTTTCAGCATCATTACTCCAGTCTTCAGTGTCACATGATCCTTCAGAAATCAGTCTAATATGATGATTTGATGCTCAAACAACATTTGTTATTATTATCAATGTTGAAAATCTGTTTTTGCCAAATATTTTTTGTGAAAATCGTGATACACTACCATTCAACACTGTAAAAAAAATATTGTTGGTTCAACTTAAAAAAGTAAGTAACCTGGTTGCCTTAAAATTTTAAGTTGATAGAACTCGAAAAAGTATGGGAGATTAATTTAATCATCAGAAACTCAAAATGATAAATTATCTCAACTAAATAAATTATTTAAGTTGATTTGACAAAAGAAAAATTGTGATAACAAATCTTGAAAATATATATAGTTTTTTTTTTTTACAGTGAAGAGTTCGGGGTATACAGTATACTTTTATTCAACAAGGATGCATTAAATCAATAAAAAGTGTCAGTAAAGACATATACAAAAGGTCTATATTTCCAATAAATTATGACTTTTTATTCAAAGAATTCTAAAAAAATATATCACGGTTTCCATATAAATAATAAGCAGTAAAAGCTATTATATCAATATTGATAATAAGAACCCTTATTAATAACAGAGTACCAATAATAACTGATATTTATTAGAATGATTTCTGAAGGATCATGTGACACTGAAGACTTGAGTAATGATGCTGAAAATAATGCTTTACTATTACAGGAATAAATTACATTTTAAAATATCAGTAAGTAAACAATTATAATAATATTTCACAATGCTA